AACATCCTCATGCCAGTAAATGGAAATCACTACTGATTCACCAAATGTAAATAACTTTTTAAAGTTCTATCACTTTTTTAATAATAAAAATTAAAATCTTAAAAGTAATTGTTTCATGTCAATGAATGGAATGAAAATGTTTGTAGTCTTTCTTCAGATGTTTCTATCTAGTTCAATGATAGAAAAGTGTTAAACTGAACATCTAATACCAAACCAAAAAGGTTTCTTTTTTATGCATAGTTTCTGCTGAATTCAAGAATCCTAATTCACAATTGTAGGTTGTCAGGAATGGCAACAGTGTTTCAAGGGTTTAATCACAATATTCCAGATAACAAGTTTGAATATGAACCAACGAATCATGGAAATTTCTCAATGTAGACTGACAACTTTTTCAGATGTTATGTCAATAAGAAATATTACACTCAATTCCTGCAAGAATTCATGTTTCAATTGGGTATAGTTGGGGAAAATATGGTTTGTATTTTTCCCCTTCCATCCAATCTCCCGCGCCCATACCCAATCTGCCTCCTTCCTGCATTCCCTGTGGCCTTCCTCTTATTCCCTCTGATAACCATTACCTTCTTTTCATTGAGTTAAAATTTTTATTCCTTCTATTATTTGTGTGTCATTATTTCTGTGTATTTGTATCCCACAGATGAGTGAAACTGTGAAATCTTTTACTTTTTGACTCATTTCACTCAACAGAATCACCTCAAAGTCCATCCATTTTGTCCCAAATGCCACCATTACATCTTTCTTCACAACACTGTAATATTTCATTGTGAATATATATGCCACAGTTTCTCTATCATTCATCTATTGAAGGGCACTTGGGTTGGTTCCATGATTAGGCAATGATTACAATTAGCACTGTAAACAGTGCCGCCATGTACAATGGTGTAGAATGGTATTTCCATATTAGATTTTTCATATTATTAGGATAAATACATAATAGCAGTATGGAATTTCTATTTTTATTTTCTTGAGAAATCTTCATACCATTTCCACAGGGCTGTAGAGCTTGCAATCCCACCAATGGTAAATAAGAGTTCCTTTTCACCACAACTTTGCCAGCATTTGTTAATTCCATTCATTTTGTATATAGGCCATTCTCACAGGTGATTATCTCATTGTGGTTCTAATTTGCATTTCTCTTATAATAACAAATATTGAACATTTTTTCAAATGTCTATAAACCATCTGAATGTCTTCTTTAGACAAGTGGCTATTAGTTCCTTTGCCCATTATTTAGTTGGGTTGTTTGTTTCTTTGTTGTTAGACTGTGTAAATAATGTTTTTAAATTTTGAAGATTAACCCCTTGAAGATATATAGCATGTAAATATTTCTCCCATTCTGTAGGTTGCCTTTTTGTTTTTGTGATAGTTTATTTTCAGATACAAAAGTTTTTAAGTTTGATATAGTCCCACTGGTTTATTTTTGCTTTTGTTTCTCTTGCTGTTGAAGTTGTATTCCCAAATACATCATTGTGGGAGATGTTCTGTAGTGTGACCGCTGCATTTTTTTTTTCAAGTATTTTATGGTTTCAGTTTTTCTGTACAAATCTTTAATCCATTTTGAATTAATTTTTTTCTGTACAGAGTTAAATGTGAGTCTTTATTTTGCATTGGCTATCCATGTTTCCCAGCACCATTTACTAAAAAGGCTATCTTTTCTCTATTGGATGTCATAACTACCTTGTCAAAGATAAACTGTCCATATTTACATGGATTTATCCCTGGACTTTCAATACTGTTCATTGGTCTGAGTTTCTGTTTCTCTTCCAGTACCACACAGTTTTAATTACTGTTGCTCTGTAATATTGTCTAAAGTCAGGAAGTCTGATGCCTCCATTTTTCTTCTTTTCTCTCAAGATTGTTTTAGCTATTCAGGGTCTTTTTCTAATTATTTGTTCTATTTCCTTTTATTTTTTAAAGATTTATTTATTTATGCATAGAAGAACTGGGGTGTAGGCTACAGGTGTTGGGGGGCGAGAGGATTCACCAGAGACAGAGTGAGGAGCAGAAGAGGCATATCTACTGAAATACACTGCTAAAAGGAGCAGCAGATACAACAAGAGAGGTCTGCTTCTCCATGTGGGTTAGCTCCTTGGCCAGGGATAGAACTCATGTTGCAGTGGCTGGGCTGAAGGCAGCTTGACAGCACTGTATCTTTAACCCTAGTGCCACCAGGGAGGCCCCTCTATTGCATTTAAAAAAAAAAAAAAAGCATTGGTGTTTTTATAGGTGGTGCATTAAATCTACAAATTGTTTTGGGTGATATGGACTTTTTTAAGATTTATTTTTTATTTATACAATAGCTGTGGTACATTTTAATGATGTTAATTTTTCCTACCCATAGGATGGGATATCTTTCTATTTCTCGGCCTTTTTTAATTTCCTTTAACAAAGTTATATAGTTTTCATTGTATAGGTCCTTCACCTCTGTTAAGTTTTTTCCCAGGTATTTCATTCTTTTGACATGATTCTAAATGGAACTCTGTTCCTTATTTCCCTTTCTTCTAATACATCGTTTGCATATAGAAACACCACTGATTTTTGTGTACTGATTTTGTGCCCTGACAATTTTTGCTGTATTCCTTTATTTCTGAAAGCTTTTTTATAGAATCTTTTAGTTTCTTTAAATTTAGTAGCATGTCATCTACAAAGAGTGAATGCTTCACTTCTCCAATTTGGATTCCTTCTATGTCTTTTTCTTGCCTAATTGCTTCAGGTAGTACTTCCAAAACTACTTTGAATAATAGTGGTGATAGTGGACATCCCTAGCTTGTTCCTGATCTTAGTGAAAATGCTTTTAGCTTTTCACCACTGAGTATGATATTGGCTTGGGTTTGTCATAGATGGCTTTTATAATATTTACAAGTTCCATTTATTTCCATTTTTGGAGTTTACCATAAATGGATGTTGAGTCCTGTTCAATGCTTTTTGGTACCTATTGAGAGAATCATGTGATTTTTGTCTTTCTGTTGATCTGGTGGGTGACACTGATTGATTCATGTAAGTTGGATGAGTGGTGGTGACAATTCTCTTGATATGTTGTGTTTAGTTTGATAGCATTTTTGCATCTTCATTTATCAGACATAATTGTTTTTAATTTTCTTTTTTACTACTTAATTTGGTTTGTGGATCAGAGCAACATTGGCCTCAGAAAATGTTCTGAGATTTTCTCCTTTTTTGATCTTTTTTGAAGAGTGTAAATAGGATAGGTAATAGATCTTCTTTACAGGTTTGGTAGAATTCACTGGACAAGCCATTCAGTCCTAGGCTTTTGTTCTAGGGGAGAATTGTTTTTTTTTTTTCTTTCAATTTCAATACTTGTAAAAGATTGGACTATTTTAGTGGTCTATTTCATCCTGGTTCAATCTAGGGAGGCTGTATGAGTTTACAATTTATCCATTTCCTCCAGTTTCACTTAATTTGTGATCCTGTGTATTTCTCCAGTATCTGCTGTAATTTTAACCTCTTTCATTTCTGATTCTGTTGATTTGTGTTTCTCGCTTCATAAGCAGAGGTAACAGCTTGTCAATTTGGTTTAGTTTTTCAAAGAACCAACTCTTGATTTCAGTGATCTTATGTTTGTTTTTTATTTTATTTATTTCTGCTCCAGTTTTATTATCTCCTGTCTTCTAGTGTTTTGGGGATGCTTTTGTTATTGTTCCAGTTCCTTCAACTGCAGAGTTAGACTGTTAAATTGAGGTCTTTTTTTTTTTTTTTTAAATGTGAGCCTGTATTGCTACAACCTTCCTATGTAGTATTGCTTTTAAAAGCATCCCATAGGATCTGGTAGTTCTTCTTTGTTTTCACTAGGCTGTAGATATTTTTAATTTCTTCTTGATTTCTTCATTGACCCATGAGTGTTCAGAAGCATTTTGTTTAGTCTTCACATTTTTTTTTCAGGATTCTTTGTATGTTTAATTCCAGCTGTATAACATTGTGGTCTGTGAAGAAGCTTGATATAATTCTATTTCTGTATGTCTTCTGAGACTTGTTTTATGGCCTATGATGTATTCTTGAAAATGTTCTATGTGCACTGGATAAAATAGTGTATTCTGCTTTTAGGATGGAAAATTATGTAAATGTCTAGGAAATCCACCTAATCTAATCATTTAACTTATATTATGGACTTTTAAAAATCAAAGTATTACCTTATTACTGAGTTCTTTCTCAGATGGAATAAACAAGATTATCAATTGTTTGGTAAAAATTAAATTCATATCCATTAAATCAGTACACTGCATATCAAACAGCTTATCACAGATGATGTACCAGGTAATTTTCCAGACAAAAGTGAGAATGACATGAAAGTTCTTCTTAAATAATTATCCTAAAACAATGATAACTTTTGTCATTCTTTCTACCAATTTTTGAAAAGTAACTGAATCTTAGAATAAAGTCATTAATATACATCTTTTAACTTCTACCTAAACAAGATTGGAAATCAGTCTTTCTAGTATACTGAGCTGATAAAATTTATGTATTTTCATAATATATTATGGATACAAAGAAAGTCCAATAAATTTTTCTATACAAAGTAGATAAAAAGAACCTAATGTCTCATTTATTGAAAGGTGGATTTAAATAGATACATTAGGATAGTCTTATCCTCACACATGAAGATATATTTAAAAAAAGAACAAACCAAAGTTAGAAACAAAGGGATTTTGATTACACAACTGTAGATAGTAAATCAAAGTTACTTTCTTTTCATCAAAATACTGTCAAATTCTTAACAGTTCTCCCCCAGAAGACAAAATTAAAATTAACCTCCTTTTCATTAAATAATATTATTTTAAGGCATTCCCTTATGCTATTAGTTGGAAAATATTCATACGAATACAAAGCTAAAAGTTACCAACCAATTAACCTGTATATCTTTTATTAGAGAAAATAATCACAATAATATTGCCATTATATATTTTTCTGCTAATACCTGCTTGCCACAAAAAATAAGGGGTGGTAAATATAGAGTATAGATGACTTACATTTAGAGGGTTAGGCTTTAATTCTCTCTCCCAGGATTGAGACTCTTATCCTTTGTGCTTACACTGCTTCTTTCTCCACGGTATTCTTCTACTCCCAGAATAGGTCAGTACAAAGCTTCAACAGACTTCTATTATTTGTTTGATCTAGGGGGAAATTATACTTTTAATCAATCATTATAAAGTGCATCAAACTTTTTTTTTTTTTTTTACTGTGCTAGAGGGTAGGGACTATTCATTATTTTCTGTTGGATCTGAGATTAACAGAGAAAATAGGAATTGTCATTGTTGAGTATTATAATAAATAAATCAAGCAATTTACATTAACACCACTAAAAGAAACCCATATCAACCATCCTTTTCATTTTATGGTTAAGCAGCATAGCAAGAGAAAATTAATATTCAAAATCCAAATGACTACAAAAGCCTACTTAAATGTATTTTTAAAAGACTTTAATATAATTTTGCAAATCCATGAGTTTCAATGGACTGGCAGAGATGATTAGCTATCAAGTATTTTTTATTCACTCATTTTAATGTCTTAGGGCTAAAGAATTACAGATGATTAGGAAAATGTAAAGGAAAATCCATTTGAAAAATTTCAATAGAATAGTTTCAAAAAGATGATTTCAAGAGTAAAAGACAGACCAGAAACTGATAGCCAAGAGTCTTTAAGGTAGGGCAAGAAATCTGTAGTAAGAATTTCAAAGATGGCACAAAGGTTGGGTAATGGCTATTCGAATATGGCATGCTGGTCAAATTAGAATACATAATATGGGAACATTCTAAATCCGGTTTCATGTAATTCTCACGTAAAAAAATACAGTACATTCTACTTTTACAAGGACACAGAAGTGTGATGTATGACTTTCTAACACTTGGTAGTAAGAACAATGATAATTTTAAGAGAATTAACTATACTATAAATTTTATCAAATTTTAAGTTTCTAATGATGGATATTTTCTGCCTCATTAAAGTGAAATATTAAGATAAATGTCTTCAACTTGTGCCATATCCTTAACCACACCCTCTTGATGTAACTTAAAATCATTATTATTTTAGTAAACAATAAATTAGAATGTAGAGGGAGAAAAACTGGAAATAGGATATAAATGTTTTGGGAACAAGCAACAGTGTCTGCTAGCACTTTAAAGCCAGTCAAACTCTTAAGACTCCTACAGTTGTGATTATCATGTTTTAAAAACTATAGTGGAAAACAGAAAACAAATGAAGCCAATCAATATCATTATCAGAGTTAAATACAAAATCAGAGTTAAACATAAAGTGGTATTTGCAATCATTTACCTGGCATACCTCAAAATTATTTTAAAGTGAAACAAAAACATAAATTTGATTACCAAAAATAAAATCTATTCTGGGCATTTTTCAGGCACAGTTTTTCCCAGTGTCAACTAATCTTGACCTAATACACTCCTCAACACAAACTTATCCATGTGTGCTTCCTCTATGAATATTTCCACATGGCTTTTCAAACACAAATAGTTCTACTTCAGTTTCTAGAACACAGAAATGGTTTTTGCTATATTTTGGGTCAGCGAAGATAAATGCATATTCCTTTAGGGAAGTCTTTTGAACTGACAAAATATGAATGATTGACATCAATAACAAATACTTTTTGTTTTCTGAAGCTGACATGTCACTTATAGCAATACCTATGCTAATTAATGCCATACATATCTACCAGATGTGTCAGAGAAATATGCCAGACCTTTCACAGTATATAGCTTGACTGTGGCTAAAATTATGCTATAGATATGAAAATACCTCCCCTTGTGATAAAAAACTATCTTTCCATCTCCCTCTGTCTGTGTGTATAGGGGTGGAGAGTAAACACACACACTACACAGAGAGAATATATTTTAGGTAATAGGGGAAAACCCACTTGTATGTACATTGATAAAAATGTATTTTTTTTTTAAAAAGCAAAGTCTACCTTCCAAAGTTCAAATGCACTATAATCTTAACTATAAAAAGTACAGGCTAGAATATATCAAAATAGTTAGTTTCTCCACAAACTATACTGTCATTAGAATACATTACATTGAAATTTTCCCAGATTCTCTGAACTGTATTTGTAGATGGCTAACAATGGGAATTAAGCATTAATTATCTATGTCCCCCATTTCCTTAGGCCAGAAATTGGTATAAAGTGAAGTCAGGTTTTGTGTTTTGTTTTTGTTGTTTTTTTTTTTCAAATAAACAGTTACGTTTAGTAGTCAAAACAATGGATAGCATATTTGTGGCTGAATTAAGAATATACAAAGGAAGAATTACTAATCATGGCAACTAAACCCCATGGTCATTACAGATAAAGTGTTGAAGAACTCATCTCAGATCCTGTGCTACACTGTTATCATTCAATACATGTGAACTATAATCAGGATGAGCATTCACTCTGGATTGCCAGGAACAGATGCAGTTCATACTTACTGCAATTATTAACAGCTATGCTTTCCTTCTCAAGAGTGTTCTAGTTTTGGAAATAACTTTATATATTCATCTAAAGTATCATTATTTATTATTATTCATTTAACACTTGATTCTTCTTGTCAATAATTTTTTTCCATGATGCTGTTACATGACAAAGATAATCTGTTGTGTTCTCACATCCTTGAAATAAATATTTTATCATCAGCATTAGAATCACCTCCTTGCGGACATATCCAAATTTGAAGTTTTGAATATTGGTTTCATTAGCTTGTTGTTTACTCCTTACTTCCTAAAATCTCCTTTTTGCTTCCAAGACATCCCTTTTTTATTTCTCTCCAACCTCATTTTAAGTATCTATTAGTTTCTATCACTACATGTACCCCCTCCTCAATATCAGTTTCCCCAAGACACTTCATTCTAGTCCTCTGTGCCTCTCAACCTGCACTCTATTTCTTCCATCAACCACCACCTGTTGCAAATGACCCCCAAATATGGGTGTTTGTGTGGTGTGTGTGCATGTACCTCTATACCTTTCAGTAGATTGCAGGTTTAAAGTGCCTACTTAATATACAATCTCTATTTGGTTCCCAGTCTAAATGCCCTTTATTCCACAACACAATACTCAGGCTTTTTCACTTTTTATTTTTCACTTGTTTGTGTTGGTTTTTCCAAAATGTAAATCAGATAGTATTATTCCCAATAAGGCAAGAAAGATAAGAGGGAAAAGTCAAATCCAGTAGAATAAAGGCAATCTGTCACTGGTATCTCATTTGTAATTCAAGTATGCTTCACTTACAAATATTGTTGCAATTCAATTACCACTACTATGTAGTAGTCCTGTATTTTTTTAGCCAGAAATAATCAACTCACATAGATTTTTTTTTCTATTACTCCCTGTTAAGGATTGTTCATTAATCAATTATGTGCTACATCATTCCACATATCTACTTTCTCACCTTTAATTAAAAACTACTTTAAAACAAAGAACACGTTTTATTAATCTGTGTCTTCTCAACAAACTAGCTTTATCATAAATGAAATATTGAATCACTTGAAAAGCAATGGTGAAGGTGTCAAAGCTATGGTGTCATCAAAAAAAGACAGTGACGTGAAACCCTTCTTAACCATCTATGTTCAACAATTCTAGGAAATAATTTTCACTACATTATTTTCACGTTCTAAATAAATTTGTCAAAAATATGTCTCATAGAAGCAAACTACATCATTATTTGACTTCTGCAGAAAATGGGCAAGAAAAACTTGTACTAACAGAGTTAAACATTTGGCTTTAAATATTTACTCTGAAGTTCTAAATCAACATTAAAATTTAGAACCCAAAATTAAATTATAATTTTGTGTGGAAATCATGTTATATGGCAATGTGTTTCAAATGATATTGTAAGAGGGTGGTCCCCAGGAAAAGTGGAGGTTCCAGGTTTCCTGCCTCACCCAGGGGAGGGTAGAGCTGAGCAGGGAGGAGAAGAAGCTGGAGACTGGGGAAGTAAGGGAGAAGTATGCAGAACAAGAAGGAGATCTGTAGGAGGCACATGGAACAGAGAGACGTGAAAAAGCTGCACTTGATTTTTGATCCTGGCCTGGGTGAAACAGATGTGGGTGAGAGACCCGTGGGGAGGTTAACAATGGCACCATTGATCTTGATTGCAATTGTGCTCTTTACCTTCCAGACTTGTCTGCCTGATTCTGACCCTTTTCTATGGGCACCAACCAGAAGCGCTGTAGACTTGTGGCAGGCTTTCTGGCCTCAGAGGCCCTGCTTTGGGCCAACCCTGTTTTGCTGGGCATTTACCCATGAGGGGATGGGTAACTTTGGGTGCTTGATTTAGAAACTATATTCTTCACCCGTCTTCCCCTTTTCTATAGTGCATGCTAATTGTATTAAAATCCCTTTACATTGAATGTCTTATATACTAGAACATGTTTTGTCTTGATGAGGCAGATGACAAAACCTATTTAGAGCAGGCAGGTTTGGGGATCTTGGGGTGTGTCCCTCTCCGTCCTATAATAATATAATAAATCTCTCATACAGACCACTAAAGAAATTCTCTGAGTCCTAATAGAAAGAAGGATCAAAACCAGCACACCCAACATATCTGGAGTCTACCCAAGAAGTTGTTATGAGTAAGAAAAGTACAAAATTATATTCTAAATTCTAACAGTATTAGCAGTATGGGATGGATTGTTTACCCCAAAAAGGTGGTAAAGGTCCAGTAAGTTTTTTCCTAAGATGTTTTGAGTAGATCTTTTTTTCAATAGAGTCACCTTAGCACGTGGAACTAAGAATCAGAACTCTGGGCCTCAGGAGAAACTGATAATATTAAAGAATGAAGATTACCCAGATTTTGGGATACCTCCAGAAATAGCCTTTCTATCTGAGAAACCTGTCTTAGGCCAGGGCAAACATCTAGAGGCAAGGTTTTGTCATAGGAAGTCATCCCTTTCTCTTGTGAAATTCCCTCTCCTCCTTGACTTCTTAGCTCCCTAAGCACAAGATACCAACCCTGGTTTACCCTATATACTTAAGAATTTACCAGCCATGTAAAATAAGTTAAATATATAAATTAAATATATGTACATCATTAAATAGTGTGCTTGTTCTCTAACTAATATTTCTGGGGTTAATTTGTTCGTTCATCCAGCTTCAGAATAACCCAGAGAGTTAGGGGAAATTTCCCCT